CACTGGCCTATAGTCATTCAGGCAGGTGACCGGGCTCTTCTTGGGAAGGGGGACGATGGTTGTGGTCTTAAAGCAGGTGGGAACAATGCTCTGGCTGAGGGAGAGGTTGAAGATGGTGGTGAGAACATCAGCCAGCTCACTGGAACATGCCCTGAGAGCCCTCCCAGGGATGTTGTCTGGTCCTGCTGCTTTGCGGGAGTTGATCTTCCTCAGGACTGTGCGTACCTGGCCTGGTGAGACAGTTAGTGGAGAGGAGGTGGGGGGTTGGGTGGTTGTGCTTCCTCTCTGTGCTGTAGCTGGAGGTCTCAAAGCGGGTATAGAAGGTTTTGAGGTCATCTGGCAAGCTGCCTGTAGAGTTGATGACGCTGGTGGTGGTCCTGTAGTCTGTCACACGCTGCAGACCTTGCCACATTCATCCAGAGTCAGCAGTAGAATAGAAGCCATTCAGCTTCTCTCTGTACTGCCTCTTGGCCGCTGTGATGTTTACTGGCCTAGACTAGCAGTTTTCCCACTTTTAGCGTTTTTGCTAAGGTAAGCTAAACAATTCCTCCCAAATATCTTCTTCAAATGCTACTTCAAATATCTAATGCTCATGTTTTGTAAAGAGTGCATGTTGTATGAACTGTGTCTAAAGCCCCTTTCACACTGCAAATTGGATGTGGGAATTTTCCATGAGTTCCCTGCCTCGCCGTTCTGTGCAAATGGTACAGTCGTTGAATGGGTTACCACATTCAATGGGTCTCTCTCTCTCTCTCTTTGTAATTACTGGCCATACTGCATAGTGTCAGAGATATGTAATCATAATAGTTAAATTACACTTCGTTTTGTGATGCACTACATTTCATTTCCCACTGTAGTTCACACTTTGTGGATCCATGGACACAGCCTACCCATCATCACATCATCAGAAAATGAGCAGTTTTTCCCCTGTTAATATCAAATAAGTATTAAAATGACCAGCATGCTAAATACACTTAAGCAATTAAATATAACCGCTATCAGCAGAGTAATTGTGCTGTCTCGCACTGAGCTAAGTCTTCAACAGAGCCCGTCTCATTGAGACATGTGACTGGCTGAAATGTTGCACCAAGAGAACATCCTTATATTCACCTTAGCAGTCACCTTTTATTTGTAATTTCATTGCAGCAAGATTTGAAAATGGAGTCTTTCACTTGTTTTTCTGATGAGGAGTTAAAATAACACCGAGGACCAACGGCTCCATGCTGCAAGCTGGGAACACCATATGACACCGTGAGTTAGGTGTCATTTCTCAGCGGCTGGCACTGCCCTCACATGATCTAGAAGCCTAGGGGTAGGTCAGCCAAAATGTAAAGCAGACTCCAACTCCAGCATCTGAAGAACCAGCACTATGTTTTGTAGCTCTACTATCCCCTCCAAGCAATAACCAGGGGCTGCTATATTTATAGAGAAATGCAGGGCTTCATTCATTCAAAAAGACGTATCAGAGTATTATCCAACAATTTCACATGATCCCTAAAAAACGTTTTAGGAGGCGTGACTGAAGGAGTAGGCTATAATATAATAATTTATGTGGGATGGTTTAAATAAATAGCGCAGTGGTACACAGCTGATAAGCCTCCATTCTCTTGTTTAGTATGGGCTATGATGTTTTAATGAAACCATATTGACAATATTTTTGCTGATAAAATCTAAAAATTTTATGTCCACCACATTGTCTGTCAAAGTCAACATAGATACAGGGTAATCAGCATACATAGTATACAGCAGCTGTGTGATAAATCCAATTTTTAAATGAGTGTTTACAAAGAAGTTGTCTATTTCTTTGCAGCATACTGTACATGGTGTTTACTACTGTATGTTTTTAACTGTGTTAATCATGTTTAATGCAGTAGAGCTTTGACAGCATATACAGTGTATAATACTGTATGCCCTGGCAATTCAGAACCCTATACTGTTGGTGGACGATATAGTAGGCTTTGGCCAAAAGGAGAACTGCAGATTGGATTTTATGAGTCTCATGCAGTGTTAAAAAACATTGCATTACTGACGGAGCACTGCCGACAGGGCATTGCAAATACAACGCAGTGAAAAAGTATAAAACTTTGAATGTCTACATCTGTACATCTCTGCACAACCCTGTGGGAAGGATTTTGTGTGAATGCAGGCAGAACACACACGTCTGTCTGTCGTAAAGTGAGGTGCACTTTGTGTGCATGCAGGCCTGCCCCTCAGACAACACGGATCTGAAAATGGATGCACACAGGTTACTGTAATTCCTGATTTCCATTTCTAACTATATCATATAAAAACAGGTAACAGCTCACTTGATTTATTTCAAATTGGCCACAAAGTATACGGACTGTCAGATATCGTGATAAGCATCATTCCTCTAGTACCAGGATTCTAGCAGCTGTTTAAAAAGAACACAGAAGTAGCAGTTTGCCAGCTTTTTTTTTAAGTTTAGTGTAAAAGGGCTTAAATCGAAAAAAGCCCCCTTGAAGGAGGGTCAAAATGTGAGCGGTTTTCTGTGAGCTCTGTGTAAAAGGGGCTAATGACTATGTGAACAATTTGACCTGCTGGTGGTGCTAGAGGTGATCACCATAGACACTAGAGGTTTTTCCTCATGGCACCAGGAATATCTGTGGCAAGTATGAATGCAGTTGTTAAGATATTTCACTCTTCTTTTCACATTAGAGGAGAATGCTATGTGAAAGTGTGTACTGTTATCGTCAAGAGAAAAATCTCAGTCTTGCTCATTTAATGACTTTTCAGCTGGAAACCCTTTGCTCTTCAGACATAGTGAGATAACACATCATACAAACTAGTTCATTTTGGTCATATTCCGGCTTTAAAAAGAATATAAACCAATGCAAACCTTAACTTTTATAAATTTTACCAAACTGCTCATGGATACAGTGTGTGAAATCACCATGCACCTGGTATGTTGTTGACATTGTTAGTAAGGACAGCAGGGCACAGTGCAAATGAAGTGTAAAAGCTTACATTTTATATAAAACATTACGTTTAATTTGCACATTTGAATGTCAATTCTGAGTCATGGTAGACAGAGTGAAGAGGCTTTCAGTGCTTTTTGGATCAGCAGCTCAGAAATGAACGCACAAATACACACACACACTCACCCACACACGTAAGTTGTCAAACTTTAGTCTTGTTAACTGTCTCTTGCTTTCATAGAGTGTCACTCAGTCTTTCTTCCTCATTGAGAAGCAAAACAACCAGCCTTGTCTCTAGAGCTCTCAGTGTTTCTTTATCTGTCTGTCCACGTGTCTCTCCAGTGACACAAAATGCCAGTGGCTGTTGTCACAGCTGAAGTGTTTTGGGAGTGAAGGATGATAGGAGATGTGTGCTATAGTTCATTGTCTATGTGTGTTGTTTTGGATGTTGTGTTTGATGTTCCTTCTGTATGTGTCTGTATTAGCATGTCTTTTCTCTCTCAGCGCAGCAATTCTGTCTTCTGTACCACTGCCTCCCTTCAGACTAGCTGACATCATATCAGCACCATCGCTATTAACATCATTTCCTTTCATTTCTCTTTATATCTAACACTGAAGCTGTTTCAGTACATTTATATTGTACGATACTTCTACCACTACACATCACTGCCCCCCTCTTACCTTTACTACAGGCCAATAATGTGGCTGCCCCAGCAGCTTGACAACAGCAGGGATACCATAGTGCAGCCGCACAGCATTCTGGGCCAGTTCGGCATCCTGGTGTCGGGAGGTGAGATGACGTAGGGCGCAGACTGCTGGTTCAGCAACATCCTCCTTCTCCCCAGCACGAAGCACGGCATGGATCAGTGCCTCCACACCACCATACTGAGTCACCAAAGTCTAAGGGAACACAGGTAGAAGAGAATAGAGTAGAATTCAAATCTGAATTAGAGGTGTGACGTAAAGCTTTGTTTATAGCATGAGATCCTCTAAACATAAATTCACCTTTTAAAAATGAGATCACTGTAAATTAAATAAAATCTGTGTGATTCTTTAGCCACATAAAACACTGATCTGTGAATAATTTTCATATCGGAACATTCCAATCATTTTTATTGATCACTCTGGAGATTTTCTGAATATTTCTAAGTGAGAATGATTGTAGTGCAGCACTGTTTCCTTTCATTACTCTCCATGCATTTACACTATATGTGACCATTGCATATCATTAACTTTGTGTCTTCTCTCTCCTGTAGTGTGTCCTCTCTCTCTCCCTGTATCCCTGGCTCGGAGCTCTATGTTTCTGATGAGCAGTCACCACCCTCCTGTACCTGCCCAGTGTTTGATTGTTTGTTTGTTGTTTGTTGGTTGTGTTCCGATGCTTTTTCTTTCTTTCTCACCTATCCACTCACCCCAACCGGTTGAGGCAGAAGGCCCCCCACCAAGAACCTGGTTCTATCAGAAAATGTCTTCTGTTAAAGGCAGTTTTCCTCCCTACTGTCTGTCTGCACTGCTCCCATTGTCCTTTGTGCTCACAGGAGTACCCCGCAAAGGGGATGATGCCACCTGGTGGTGTTAATGACAACTACAGTAATTGCTGGGTGGCAATTACTGTTGTCTGCTATAAAGTCAGTGTCCTCTGTGGCTTAATTCAAATATCTAACTTTGGTTAATGCTTCTGTAAAGAACACAGCACTCACACTAGTCAGCAACTGATATAATAAATCAGAACTTTATGTGATAACATTGCATGCTGACCCAGGATTGTGATGTGGGCTTGAATGCACTTGGTCTCTGGCTCCAGCATGGGTCTTGGAGTCGGTGCAGTAACCTTAACAACAGATCTACTCCATGTTACAGGGGCAGCTAACTCTGACTCAGACATGTTCACCAAAAGAAGGTTCGGCATCAGCAGGCTCATTATGTTCTGTGGGCTTTGGGGGCTTCACTGTTCTGATGAGGGACATTATGTTTCTCTTCTCTCTCACTGTGGTCGCAGCTATGTGATTTTTTTTCCATCGCAACGTTTGAATCTGATGAGTCCAATGCAACTTTGCTAGAGGGGGTGTGGTATTAGTAGAGACACAAATTCTCAATTTCCTGGGTTTTGACACAAGATTGACACAAGGCCTAAGGTTGGCTCGGTGGACCTTTTTTGTGGGGCTGCACTCTCAACTGACTCCGCTGTATATGTGATGCCCTGAACCTCATCTTGAATTTTGTTCCTACTTTGTGGTCAGTGACATAGATAGCTGACCTACTTCACTGGGAGGACAATGTACTTTGTTCTGCTCCTACCCAAGTCTCTGTGCAGCTTTCTGTTCATCATTCAATCACCTGTAACCAAACCAAAGCATTCTTATCCATCAGAGGCAGTCTACAACACACTAAAATCTGGATGAGCTTGAGGTTGGACTGAGATAACAAATGCTCTTTCAGTCTACAGCCAATTACTCAGAGCCCAGAGATCAACATGTGAGCACATAAATGAATGCAAGGTGTATTTCGTTCACTTAAAATAATGCAGTTTCAGGTTTTGGAACCATAAACCTAGAAAGTCTCTGGTGCTGATGGAAAGTTTTATTACTTCTAAGAGCATTCCTTTGCATTATCTTCCCTGTAAATCACAAGTGTTGTTCTCTCCTCTACCCCGAGGTAAAGGAGAGTAACTCTGTTAATTACCTCCAATGAATCCCTGTGTAATTCTCTCTCTGCTGTGTCTCTATTTGCTACATAAAGACCAAGAATGAGTATTTCAGCCAAACCTCAGATTTCATCCATCTGATTTTTGAGGCTGAAAGAAAAACTAAATGAAAATAAGCCAAATAATAACAGGTTTTAAGATTGAGAATGCAGCAATACACAGAGGATGTCTGGGTCTTCTGTTATTAATTTAAGATATACATCTAGAAATGAAAGGGGACAAAATAATGAGGACTGGAAAGATGCAACAACATTAGCAAATCCAAAGCAATTTAAGTTCTGCAGTATTAGTCAGTCATTGCTATGATCTTATTTTCAGACTGATTACACAAACCCTGTGTATCCAGAAAAAAGAAAACCCTGTATACTTAAAAAAAAAAAAGCCTGTACAATAGCCTGCAATAAATCCTATGCAATGTTCACTTTTGCAGGACTGTGCCAGAAAGGTGTTTATTTGTTTTTAACATAGTGGTTTTAATTTCCAGTAGTAGTGCTGTACTAGATACTGACTTGGCTTAAAATATGAGAAGTAAACTCCAAAACATACTTCTTTTTTTTGGAGAAGGATCAATGAAACAAATGCTCAATGAGAGCTTACACTCAATTATAGAAGTTATAATAAAGGAAATTATGTCACTGACAATATTCATAGTTCATTTCTTGATTAGCTCAGAGAAGATAAATGGATTAATTAAAATGCAGCATAACCTGCTGTAATTCATAATAATTTGATTTTCCTCCTTGATGATACAGGATGCCACCACCCCTACCTACAAACTTCTCAGTCCACATTACTTTATTATATTTACCCCTCTTGGTTGTTTGTGTGAACAGAAAGTGGGCCAGAACTAAAAGGCAACAATTAAACTTTTTTTTTCCTTAGTCTGGATCAACTGAATTGAATTATAGGTGTGAAAGATACCTAAAACCTATTGAAACCATGCGGCACAATGTGGTACTTAGTAATTAAGCTGATAGTGTGGGTATTGAAATATGTTAGTCAAGTATATGGCTGTAATATCATATTGCAATATATATTACAGTAAGACAACATCATGACTGGCTCATAATTATTAACGAGTGTGTCATTTCAGAAGTTATGACTGAAACTCACTTAATGGTCCCTGTTTACATCACAGTAATTAGATACACCCTACAACTGAAAGGATGTGGAAAAATGGCCTATTCTTTTGCAGGTTTTGTCTGGGGCTTAATATTTACGGGGTTTAACTTGGCCATTTAATGCCAGTTACCTTGTTTCGTGAGTTATTACAGGTGAGGTTGGACAGGATGCCAGTTGCACAGGTCAACATGTTGATGTCATCTGAGCCCAGTTGGGTGACCAGTATCTGCAGCAGACTGTCTAACCCCTCCTACAGAGAGAGACCAGAAACAGTAGAGGCAGAAAGAGAGAAATCAAAGAAACATATTATAGCAATGCAGTCTGCGTATTGCTTATCAGTCCAATTTCCATATAAAAAAAATCAATAATAAAAAACTGGAAAACAAACTGTGTGTGCTCATGTAAATACATGGACATCTAGAATACATTTCACGCACTGAATAGAAGCAATAGGATAGCCTGTGTTTTGGCACAGGCTATCCTACCGCAAAAGGCAAAAAAGAAATGCTCTTTTAGTTTAATACATTCATTAAGAGCAATCACACATTTTTAAGACAAATCCACCTGATGAAAAAAACAAACAAATGAAAGAAAATAAAAACAAGCAAATTCCAACGGTAGGCCTACGCATTTCTAAGTAAAGCATTGGACTACACGATAGTATCTCTTATAACACAAACATAAAATATGCTCCTTTTACAAGGTGAACAAGTAGTGCTTTGTTTTAGTATATCGGTTAAGAACATCTAAGAGCATCCACTGTATCCTAAAAAGCCTGACTGAGGAGTCCTAGATTAAAAGTAATTTAGGAAACTGCTCAGAGCAGTTTGTGGAAACACAAAAACCTTTATCTTAGTGAGGAGGTGTGGCTGACTTCTGGACCTCACTTGCCCTGGGTGGAAGCAGAGCTGACAAGGCCGGAGTCAGCATGATTACTCTGCTGATAGCTGTTATATTTAATTGCTTACATTTATTTACCATGCTGGTAATGTTAGTATTCACTTTATATATTTGATATTAACAGGGAAAAAGGCCTCAAAATTATCTTCATTTATTATCTTAATTATCTTCATTTATTATCTTAATTATCTTCATTTCAATTATTTAATGTATCAGACAAATATTTAATTACAAGGAAATAACGGGGGATTAGTTCCGTTACACAAACACACATAATGTGACTGCTGCAGCATTTGAGCTTAAAGTCACCACACACCATACCATACCATACCAACTTTATTTATAAAGCACTAAAAACAACCAGAGTGGACCAAAGTGCTGTACATTGCAATAAAACAGTATAAATTATAAACCACAAACAACAATATAAAATATAATCAATATAATAAATGACTAAAATCAACACAAAAATATCAAAATGCCAGGGAAAATAAATGAGTTTTTAAAAGAGACTTAAAAACAGACAGGGTAGAGGCTTGTCTAATGGACAGTGGTAAATCATTCCAGAGTTTAGGACCAGCAACTGCGAAGGCTCGATCGCCTCTAAGCTTACGCTTCGTTCTTGGGACACTCAAGAGAAACTGATTTGCTGACCTCAGAGAGCGTGTGGGTCTATGCCAATGAAGCAAATCAGTTAAGTATAACACATATACACACATAACACACTGGTGCATGGGGCAGACAGTGAAATTAAAGTGTGCTGGATGAGAAACAAGAGCTTCCTCTAAGTTAAAAAGAAACATTCCTTAAAAAGAAACATTCCTTACATCTAACTAAACTATTGGGGTTAAACTAAACCCCAGCGAATTAATTAAGAGAAAAAAAACAACAATCCTTATTTATTCCAAACTATCAGGATGAACTTAAGCCACATTGTGGGGAGAAACAACAGCCTCTCCTATATTAAAAATAATTATTTCTTACATCTAACGAGAAACAACAGCCTCTCATATATTAAAAATAATTATTTCTTACATCTAACGAGAAACAACAGCCTCTCATATATTAAAAATAATTATTTCTTACATCTAACTAGACTAAACCCCAGCGAGTTAATTACAAGTGGAAGACAATGGTGATGCCTCAAGCCTAGATTTGTATTCAGTCAGTCAGCCCTCATAAAACTCCTTTGAGGTGTCATGCATAGTTTGAAATGGTTTTGGGGTCACAAACCTGTTGCTAAGGAGAGCCTAATATAATCCTTTGATGCAAATATGAAAACATGATGGCTAACTTGTTACAACGTGAAACTCCTGTTTTATTGTTACCAGCTGCAATTTTATGACTTGCAGATGTGCACTGTAAAATAATATTGTACAGAAAACAGCATTGGTGACTTGGATGTGGGCGGAAGTGACGTGTCAAAAGTAGGTGGGCTTAGACTTGGAAGTGTGATATCAAAGTCACAAGTCAATCCAATCACGCCTAAGATGACAGAAGCTGTACACTTACACTTTCTCACACTCAACACCTGTAGCCACTTGACTCTGTACTGAGCTACCTCAGTACAAATGTTTGTCTGCTTCCTTTGTTCATTGCGAAATGATCTGTTGATGCTTTCAGTTTGCCTTAATTTTCTTTCCCCTTTGTGTTTCCTTTGTCTTTTTCCTTTGTTTTCTTGCATACTCCTTGGATTTGTTATTTTCACTTGGACTATTTGTATACCTTTGTATTTTCCTCTGTGTGGATTAATAAACTGTTGAACTTTCACTATCAGCAGAGTGGTAAATCACAGACTGTACCTTGATCATCTAGCCCTGAAATCAGTCCTACAGTAGTAGTAGGTGAATAAATACATGCCTGTTTGGTTGCAGCATCTGACAAGTTGCGGAGTGTCCACAGACAGTTCTGGATCAGACGCTGACTTGAACCTGCAAGGTGCTGGCCCAAAGCTTGCATACCACCTGGTCACAGATGTAAAAATACAGTTACATACAATACAAACATAGACTCATTCTTCTAAATTCACATTCAGTGATGTGGACATACCAGCCTCTACTATTGCTGGCTTGTTGCTGGGACAGACAGACAGCACTTTGAGAACGCGACTGGTTGTCCATAGCAACTTCTCATAGTTATAGTTCCTCATGATGAACACCAGACCCTCTGGGCCCCCATTGGCTAGGATGATTAGCTGATGAGAAACGGGATGTGGTGATGTAATTGTGCAATAAATAAGCGGACACAACAAGTATCACCTTCTCAATGACAAGGTCCATTTCTCACCTTGCTCTCCTGGTTGCCGTAAGACAGAAGTTGCAGACAATCGGTGGTGATGGCCAAGAACTTGGGGTTGCTTTTTTTCAGTAAGGGAACCATCCTCTGCAGGCCATCAGCAAGACGTACTGCCATCTTGGCCCCCTCTTGGTGCAACAGAAGGTTGTGGAGAGTGGTGATTGCATAAAATAAAACTGATTCTACTGGTGAACTGCATGAGTGAGAGACAAAAGAAGAGGGAGAAAAAAAATTTATAAAATGACATACAGTACTTTCATGGGGCATTAAGCAATTTCTGGCTTTTTTGACCTCTATTAATATCTCACACAGGTTATCGACACAGGTTTGCAGAACTTAGTTTTATGCTCAGAAACTTTGAAATGTCCATGCCTGGTGAACCAGTCATCAATCTGAAGCAATCCAAAACATTTAATATAATCCAGGGGTCTTTTTAATTTTGCATAACATTTTTGACTATGCCTGCAATTTATATTGAAAACAGGAACCTACTGACCCCTTGAAGCCCTGGCTTACAGTGGTGGGAAGTAACACAGTACAAATACTTTATTTTATTGTGGCCAGCCTCCATGCTGTCTAATCAGTATCTTCATATGCCACGCCTGTGAGGTAGATGGATTATCTCGGCAAAGGAGAAGTGCTCACTAACACAGATTTAGACAGCTTGTGAACAATATTTGAGAGAAATAGGCCTTTTGTGTACATAGAAAAAGTCATAGATCTTTGAGTTCAGCTCATGAAAAATGGGGGCAAACACAAAAGTGTTGCGTTTATAATTTTGTTCACTGTATTTCTGATGATTATTAAAAGGTGTCAATAATTCTGTCCAGTCCGTGTTATTCCAATGCAAACATTAGAATAACAAAGAATTTGCAACAATTTTCTGGGAGAAGTGGTGCATTATGTGACAGAAACACAAGGGTGCCAATATTTGAAACAGAAAACTGAAGTACTGATCTTTTAAAAATAGCATAACCAAATAATAAGTAACTGTATGAAGAGTTTTTCAGTTCACATTATTTTGAAATGCCTTACAAATTGACAAAACATTTGGCCTCTGTTTGACTCCATACATTTTTTTATTTTGTCCTTCTTAATGCTTTTGAGAACATCAGTTGCCTTGTGCCATTGTATTGTTGGTACATATAGCCTTATTCCAATACTGTCACTACTGTAGCAATCCATATTATGGCAAGAACCACTGAGTAAATAGAAATGACAGTCCAGCATTATTTTTAATACATTAAGACACTAAGACAATCCAGAAAAGTTAAAAGAACTTTGAAGAATTCTAATGCTCTGATGAAACTGACTCTCATGAGTGTAAAGTTTGACTTTACAGTAATTAGTAAACAACTGAGTAAACTTTACAATGAGTAAAGTTCATTAGAGCTACCTAGCTCAGAAATCACCAATTAATGCACCTCAGATTAGAATTGACATCAGTGTTTCCCAGAGTTCAAATAGCAGATACAGACAGGTGACAAATGAAAGGAAAACCAGAATTAATTAGTGATCTCTTCCAGAATGACAATGCCTCCATCCATAGAGTAAGAGGGGTGACTCAATGGCAATCACCAGATCTCAGCCCAGAGGAAGAGCTATGGAAGATTTTGGACCAACATGTTGGCATCTCCCCCATCATCAAAACACAACATAAGGGAATAGCTTTTGGAAGAATGGTGTTCATCTCTCCAGTACAGTTCATAGACTTGCAGGATCAATGCCAAGGTGCACTGAAGTTGTTAAGGAAGTGCCATACTAAGACATTTTATGGTGGTTTTTCCTTAAATTTGTCATGTGTCTGTGCATCTCAGTTTGAAGGAGAATGTATGAATAAGGCTTTCATGGTCCAGTTTTTACAAATAAACCAGCACTTAGGGAGACTATTAGAAATAAGAGAAAGGAACTTGGGCCAATAAATACACAGAGTGGACACACCACTGAAAACTTGTACTTTGGTTTGATGAGTCCAAATGTATGATTTTTTGGCTTCCAATTGCTATTGTTGTGAAAGGCAAAAAAGGTATCCAGATAGTGTGTATAGTTCCCACCATAAAGCTTAGTGGGACCATCAACAGGACAATGACCTAAAACATACTTTCAAGCTATGTAAGAACTACTTGACCAAGATGGAGAGTGATGAAATGCATTATCAGGTGGCCTGTTAAACATAATCACAATACCTAAATCCAAATGAGATGGGCTCCACATATTCCTTCACAGAGTGAAAGTATATGTGGAAATGCCAGGTGACTATCTCATGAAACTGGCTGCAAGAATGCCAAAAGTGTGCAGGCCGAGCAAAAGGTGGGTACTTCATTGAATCATAATCGTTTATTGCTTAAGCTGCATGTGTTATTTTATTATTTTAATGTGTTCAGTATTAATCTACAATGTAGAAAATAATAAAAACAAAGAGACAGCATCAGATTCAAAGATGGTTTACCAAATGAAGAAAAGTGACAAATGGAGGAAGAGTGAGAGATAAAAATGCCTCCAGGAAGTATAGAGCCGATTCCATTAGCAAGAAAAATAGGTTACACCCCAAGTCTCTTATATGCATCGACGTTTCCCTCACTTGCATCTTTTTCTTGCGTCTCAGTCTTGCCCATGTAAGATGTGAAAAAAGATGCAAGGAAAAAAATGCAAGGAGAGAGGAATCAAGGAAACACTTTTTTTAGACATGAGATGTCTTTTCTTCCTGTCCTTCTTAAGCATCTAATCACCAACTGATTACCGATTAAGGGGTGTGTCAGTCACTAAAAGACTTCCGCAAATGAGGGTCCCACTCATGGCTCCTCCATCAGCCTCCTCCTCGATCCTTCATCCTCAGAGCAGATATAAGAGTTTAGGGCAACCTTTCCCAAACCTTTAGGGTTGTGACCCAAAAAGGGGTCACAGACCCATTTTTATTGGGTTGCTAGTTGGCAGAGTGAAATGCATAACAATTCTATGATATCGGAATCCATTTCCCAAATCAAAACAGAAGAAGAGGGTTCTTGATTCTATGCAGGTCTATTCAGCTCAGATGTTGTGTGAGGCGCTCTCTCTCTCTCTCTTTCCATTCTCAAAAAAAAACAGGAACCACCTGACCATCGAACTTAGGGAATTTTCCTGGAGTTTTTCTCCCGATCCACATAGATGGCTTATATGGCCTATACAGATAACAGTTATTCAGTAGCTGCAGCGACACTGGTGGAGCAAGCCTTAATGGCCATGAGAGCTGTTGCCTTCACACATGCAAAGTAGATTTGGTAGCAAGTAAAACTTTGACAGATGGAAAACCATGACCCACTGTGCAGAAAGCGACAGAAAAAGAAAATGGACTTGGTGGCTGACGCCAAGTGCACAAAGGGAGGTAACAGACTATTAACAGTAAACAATGGACTATAACCAGCTGCTGTACATGATGATGAGCAAAGAAGCAAAGAAGCATCAGACAGATGAGTGCACAGACAGATTCTGTGTCACTGACAGTTTGTTTTAAATGTGATTATTGTTAAGCTGCCTGACCTACTGTTGTCTAATCACTCCTAGTTAAGTGGCTACTGAGTGCAGTCGGTGCAGAAAGGAATAAAGCAGTCGGAATGTTAAAGTTAATGATAAAGGTCTGCAAAGAAAGTGCAAAAATTGAGTTTGATTTTAAATTGGTCAAATAAATCTGAAAATTTGTCCTCTCCCTTTTATAAAATAATGAGACCGGGTTGCCAATTTCTTTCTCAGCATATTGTAGGCATATGTCTTATGGAACACTCATCAATTCTTTTTGCCATAATAATTGATCGGCAGCCCAGCAGTGAAAATTATGTTTGTTAAATATTGACTGCACCATGTAAACATACTGATAAAGAAAGAGGGTGGAGGAGGAGGGAGAAGGAACCAGCACAGGTTCTACATTGTATTGAATGTTACTATGTGACTGAAGTAAATGAGCATATGATCAGATTGGACTACTCTTCAAATGTTATACTTTAACCTATATTTTGAATGCATCTCTTAAACAATCAAGTGTACCTGCTTGTTTTAAAAATTCTGTGGTTGTGCCATTGGCTAAAACAGAATGCTTCAGACCTAAATGATTAAAGACCAGTAGATCTCACTTCAGTGATAATGAAGACGTTTGAGAAGCTAGTTCAGGTTCCTGTTTTGTATTCACCCTGATATATATCAATTTGCTTATAGGAATGAAAAGATCGGTGGAGGATGCAGCATCATTTTGTTTTTTTAATGTGCTTAAACACTTGAAGTCTCCTCACATATACATTCAAATATTATTTATAAATTACAGCTCGGCCTTCAATTGCGTTATTCCAGGCAAGCTTTTTCATAAGGTGATAGCAGCTCGGCTAAATGATTCTGTGTTTTCCCCTAACTTTTCTGACCACTTTTTAATTAACGCTTGAGCTTCCAATAATAAATTACACAGCATGTGGGGAAAATTCCACTACAGTAGATGTCTATCTGACAACGCTGTTACCAAATTTAAGAAAATAATTTGATTGTTTGCTTCAGTACCATGTGCCAACACAATGGAGGGCGGCCACCTTAACTTTACTCTCACACAAGTCGATAATCTGGTTGATTGTGCTGCAACTTCCCTGCGCATGACACTTGATACTGTTGCCTCTCTGAAAAAGGAGGTAATGAATCAGAGGATCCTAGCTCTGTGGTGCAACTCCACCCCCTAACGCTTTGTTCAGACTACATAATTTAAGGCCAATAACAGATCAACATGAGGGACGTAAGGCATCAGAACCAACAAATGGCATCGGATGCATCAATTGTTTTATCTCATATAGTGTGTCACAATAAACAACAATAGATGCTGTGTCTGGGATGCCTCACAACATCCTAACACAAAGTCTAGCATGTCAAAAATCTTTTCAACATCTATGACGAGGTGGGCCGATACTGACCAATAGGAGCACAGATGATTTTTCTGGACACAACACTTTTGGCATATTGGACTGAGCCATAATCATTAAATATCACACTGATACAACTAGCATAGTGACTTTCACAGTCAGCTTTGTGAAGTAACTACCCTGTCAGGGCTAACCAACTAGTCTTTGGTTTTACTACTAGTCTGTCAAATCCCTCATCTAAGAATGCATGACTCTGACATACCATCAGAAACAGATCGTGTAGTCTGAACCAGGCATAAGCCAGGCAGTGCAAAAACTGGAAAGCAAGTGGTGTTCAACTAAGTCTGAAGAATTTTGTCTAGTCTGTATTTTAAAGTATAGTATTTTAAAAAAGCTCTCCAAAGTGCCAGAGCTGCATGCATCACTAATAGAGAATTGCCTCCTTGTCCTTTTACCTGAAAGCACACCTTTTACCATTGAAACACTCCTTGTTTTCTCTGCCTTAACCTTCATTCTAGTCCACTTTAAGTTTTAAGTATTGTCCAATAGCTTTTTGGTACATGGTGCTGTGGTAGTGATGGTTGTCATGTCATCCATGTACAGTACGCCCTTATGGGTGGTAACTGTTCCCTGATGGAAGCCTCTCTCCTCCCACAGTCCACCTGGATGCCCTAATAATGCCATGTGTTCTGCCATCATGCCTATCTCCAATTGCTGTCATGCTGTAGTATACTCTGCTTTTGTAAAACATATCTGAATATCCTCAAAATATCCTCTCAATAGCACATTAACTAAGTCTGGTAATTTAAAATCATGTTGTGCTTCCCACAGTAGGCTGTGTGGTACAGAGCCAAAAGCATTAGCTAGATCTAAGAACATCACATGCATATCCCTTTTTCCCTCTTTGCTGACTGAATTTGATTCCAGATCATGATGGTGCGCTGCCAGAAAAACAGGTATTCCAGTTTTCTGCACTGAGGTATCAAACTTATTCCTTCATGATAACTCCTTTGTGCCACTACACTAAGGGAAAATCTTTCCTCCTGTCTTCAGAAGGCAAACAGGCCTAAACTGCCCTACCTCAGCTGAATCTTTCTCCTTGGGGATAAAGCTCCCTCCTTTTCTTCTCAATGACTTAGGAATAATCAGCTTCTTCCATGCTACTCTGATAAGCCTCCACAGAAACAGCAATAGATCTGGATCATTTTCATACAGCCTATAGGGCATGCCAGTAGGCCCAGGAGCTGATCCTGCTCTTGCTCACTTAACTACCATTTCCATCTCTCTCAGGGTTGGTGATTTGCTGTTCATAGGGTGGTCTACTGCCCCAGCATATCTAGTTGAAGCCCTAACTTCCTGCCCCTTTTTTTCTGTATGCATATTTTCTATGTAAACCTCTATGTCTCTCTTTAGCAATTTCAAGATGCCACTTTTCTCCTTTATACATAGTGCCGGGCTGAACTTATGCAGATCCTTATAAAAACCTGCCCTAGCATGTTCCTTTTTCAAGCTAGCCTTTCTAAGACTTGTTTTCCTTACATTTGCCAACCTAAATTTCAGGTCTTTTTGGGACACATTAATGCCCTTTCTCACTATCTGCTGTGTTTTTCTACTGCTTTTTAAACTGCCTTCATTCACAAACAAGCCTATCAATCTCCTGCTGCCACGTAACTTTATTATCTTCACTGCTGTTTTATTCCTGCTCTCACAAACTCCAAACCTTTGCACTCCAAATTCATAAATCACATCTCCCATATTCTCTAGCTTCTTCTCAACTGTCCCTTTCACCCTTTGAGAGCACCTACCAGGTCTGAATTAACTGTTATCCATATAGCCTTCTCATTAGCCCTAGGTGAAACTACTTTGGGTTTTTGCCCTATACCCTTTTCTTTATTGGACTGCTTACTCTCACAACTCTCTTGACTCTGCTGTTCGGTGCTACCTTCTTCTTTCCCCTCACTGGTAGGGATGCTAATATCCTGCACATTTTGTGTGCTCACCTTTAGCTGGATTTTATCCAACCGACTTGAATGACTTCTTACTTTGCCACTGCACTATTCATCTGCCTCTGAGCACCTTTTCTTTCCCTGGCGGCCCTTGTTGTAAGTCACATTCCTCCAGCCACAATGGCATATATGTCTTTCTTCTACCTTTGATACTGTTGTTTCCACTGATGTGCCCACCATACTCATTGTCAAATCTGATCCATGAACGATAACTCAATGTCCTACCTGTGAGTCATCTTCCACTCCTGCTCTCACTGACTCGCGGGGTAAGCTCTACTTGTGGCTTGCATGGTGCAACCTAAGGCAAAATATTTAAATAATTAAAATTTCATCAAACTATTTCTACCTCAACATGCGGACCAGTGCTGGTATCCCTCCAGATTTAAATATGGCCAGCAGTCCTTCCTTCTGGTGTGACAGGCTGTGAAGCACACTCGCTGTGCAACGGGCTGTCTCCATGTCAACTGCCGTCATCATGGCACGCACCACAGCACCCACCAGGGCCGGAGATTGCACCAGCACCCGACGGCTTGCCTCCTTACGGGTCAATTGGTTGACTATCATGGCTGCTTTGTTCACCACAACCTAGATATGTGAAAAAAACAACAACTGTGTACACTAAAACGTGTGTGTGCGTCTGTGTAAAAACATGAAACAAATAGCTTTGGCAACATACCGAATCCTCATCTGCCAGCAGCTTGGTGAGCTCTGGCACTGCTCTGGTGGCCAGCTCAGCATCATCCTGGTAGTTTATCAGGTGGACAATAGCTGTCTTTAGCAGCTGGGAGGGCTCAGCCAGTCGCTGCACATTACTCTGCTGCAAAGGATCTGATTGAGTGGGCATGGCCGCCTCCCCTTCCACCAAGGTCTCTGGGAACATGGCTGCCCTGACACGCTGAGCCCGCGTTAGTGAGTACTGAGCATCTAAATCTGCCAGAGGGACATGGAAATGGAGAGAGATAAAAAAAAAAAAAATCTGAGACTGTGTGTGCACGTATATGCGTGTATATGGGTGACTTTACACAATGGATGTATTAAGAAAAACAGAATCCTGGACCAAAGCATGGCACCCAGTCATTTAAATGGAAATTGTTCACATGAGGCAAGAAAAGTTTTCTAGCTGCCAGGTTTGCTTCTGCACTATGTAGTCCAATGTACATGTGCATTAGTCTTTCACCCACACGCATGAACCTTAGACTTCACATTCCTAGATATAAACACTAGATGTCACATTGGGAGAATGGTCTGTCTTCTGACTGCAAGACAAGGGCGGAATGTGTAGGTGCATCACTTGTTGCATCCAGTTATGCCACTAAACCCTGTTCCTAACCACAACTGTATCTGTCTGCAGTCAAAGGTTGGTGTAAGCTGTAGTATGTCAAATAAGTATGATTTGTAAGGACATAACTGGTAGAAGGAGGGTTTAGGGGTGTAACTGAATCATGTATTGTCTCTACATGTCCCGCCCCTATCTTGAAGCCCACAGACAGATACCACTGCACACCAGGGCTTCTGAGATATGTCACACCTGTAATCATATTGCCTCGGGCAGTCTGGTCATTCTGACCAACTCAAATAATAGAAAATGTTACAATGGAAAACATGCCAAAACCAACAGGAAATGACATTTCACAAGTAAGAAGTTATTATATGTTATTGTTACTCCCCTTCAGGGAAGGCACAGTGTGAGGAAAAAATAAACCAGAAAAAACAACTCAAAATATCAAACCTCAGCTCAGTGCTAGCTACTGACAGTATAGATACAGTTCGCCTATTGGAACCTAATGACTGGTACACCCCATGGCTCCCTTAAATGTCACTTGTCATAACCTCATGTGTTGACACAGACTGTCCTGCTTTGCTTTTGTACTGTATTCCACTGTGTGAGTCTCTGTTTAGAGGAGGGAGGGGCTGCTAGACCATGAGACCATCTAAACTCCAGAATTATACTGAGACAAGACACCCAGGTTTTGGTGATCAAGACATATAATTGTAGCCACAAAAGAAAGTAACTGAGACACTTAGCACTGAGTACCAACACAATTGTGTTGGCTTACACACAGCTAAGGCAAGTACCTATATGGAATATGCACGATGTGAAGTCAGTTATATGAAAAGCTACATTGTGCATCAGCTAAACTGGCATATGAAGTACATCCCCTGCCTTCTTGATGATGGTGCTGATGTTGAATGCCTACTTCAAGTCTTGGTAGACTGTGCAGCCCAGAAATGTAAAGGTCTCTACTGCTGAGTATGGTGAGGAGGGTAGGATGGGTGGGCTCCTCCTTAGGTCCAATGTCACCTACACTGTTTTCAGCATGTCCAGCTCCAAGATTGTTGCGAATGCACCACAGGGCCAGCTGTTCAGCCCTGGGCTCAGGTGAGCCCAAAGACTGTTGTGTCATCTGTAAACTTCAGGAGTTTAACAGAGGGGTCACCTGAAATGCAGTTGTTGGTGTAGAGAAAAAAGAGCAGCTAGGAGACTGGTGGGCCAACACCAGTCTCTCAAAGGATCTTCATGACCACAGATGGCAGAGCAACAGGTCTGTAGTTATTCAGTCCAGTGATGAAAGGTTTCCAGGATGATGGTGGAGCACTTGAAGCATGAGGGGACTTCACACAGCTCCACTAATCTATGTGAAGATAAGGGAAAGCTGGGAGGGAGTCACCACCTGGGCCTGGTGCCTTCCTGATCTTTTGTCTCTGAAAGTGGTCACACATATTCTTTTCATAAATTTTGGGGGAGGGGGGCATCATGTAGTCCACAATAATGTGAAAAGTTCAGAACAAGCAAGCAAATAAAAGCATTTTGTTTAATTTTGTTCAAATGGTTGATATAGTGGTTGTGGAAGAGGAATATGGTTGTGGAAAACATGTTTTCAATTATTCATTGAGAAATGATTTGTTGAGAAAACTTCTCCTTCTCAGGGAGGCCTTCCACAATTCACAGTTAGGTTAGCAAGCAGCCATGGTAGGCAACAGCAAGCAAGGAATATCAGATTTTTTTTCAAGTAATGTTAATATTTTAACGAGCAAAATTAATACTACCAGTACTAACATTACAAAGAACAGAAACTAAAGCAACATTATTAATGCTGAAGCCAAAGTAGTTACAAAGGCTAGCATTAACGCTAGTGTGTGTGGTGCAACAGCACCACAGCAGAGCCAGTCACTGCGAGAGCGAGCTGCAGTGGGGTCTGTGGGAATCAACAGACCACTGCCTCTGCCCGCACTGGAACCACAGGGCCACAGGAGCTGGGGATGAGGATGCTTTTAAGCCTTCACATGTAAACCACAAAGGTATCTTGCTGTGAGTTGTTTACAGGCTAATAATAGTTGTGAATGAGTGAATGAGACTGAGGACTGTCAGGGACCAAAGAGTAAGGTGAAAGTCACAGCATTTAAATAAAAAAAAAGATGGGCTTTTTATTTACTCCAAAATAGAAAAATACAAAGCAGCATCAATATCAAATAAACTGGGCTCTAAACGATGTGAAAAAATAATAAGGAAAAATCAGAATACAGAAAACTAGAACTGTAACAGAACTGCACAATACCACAATCAAAGACAAACTGACCCTACAACTGACACAGACAGTTGTACTAGCTGACCAAACCAGTAGCGCACACAGAGAATGGACAAAGACACTAGCAGCCATCCATGACCAAAGGATATGAAAAACCTGGCATGAATTATCATTGGCACTGAATGACTGAGCTGTTTGTACAATTGAGAAATACAAACAAAACAAATAAGATAATGCAGCAGTCAGTCCTGTTATGAAATAAAACGATATATTATTGCAGCAACTGGATCTTGTAAACAGAACAAGTGATACTCAGATACAAGTGAAACGTCAGTTTTTTAGTATATTGAGAACAGTGAGAATCCACAGTCTGCCATAGCTATCCTAAAAGTGCTAGTAATAAAGTACTAATAACTCTTTATAGATCGATTGTAAACAGAAAAACCCTCCTGCAGCAAAATTGCTTTTCTTTTTAGAAATACTACTGGGTCTTATTCCCACCAGTACTACCACATGTCTGCTTCAAATGTTCATAATCTGATCCATATATCTTCAGTTTATAGGGAATCCATTCTGCACACTGCTTAGGCTGTCTGTCTCGACCCTCTTGCCGGAATGATGCTTTTAAGCATCAGATCACTCTCAAAAAGGTTTTTTATTTGAATTCATGGGGGGTGTCACATTGAAACTTGGCAAAGACCTGGTGAATTTAGCTATTTTCCTGGGTTTTGACCCCCACATTTTAAATGTCTCACTTTCCCACAGTTTACAGGAAGTGGTGGGGGCCTGGCTGTGGTTTTTCATGGTGATCTTTTTAATTTTCTACTTGATACCTCAAAAGGATGAGTCAGAAATATGCACATTAAAGCTTCAATTTGTGTAAAGTACTGATGGTATAATATTTTCAGTGTGCATGTATATGTGCATAATATGAGACGTACATAAACGTAAGAGCCCTCGTAAGCAGATGAAACTTGAAGTCAGCAGGGTCAGCATTTTCATTTGCATGCAGTGAGCCTTCAAAAATGTTTTGTGTCAGGGTTACATCAATGAGAAGAATCTCATTTGAGTTGACAGGATATGGCTGGGAAGCTCATTGGTTCCTGTTGAAGGTACACATTTTTGAATAAATCTCACAAATATTTAATTTAATTTTTTTTTAAAAAGTCATTTTCTAAAAGCTAGTTATTGTCATTTTTAGCAAACATTACAGGAGGAAAAAGTAAATTTCCTGGGGTCTATTTTCAAAACTGAATTAGCACACATTTGTAGAGAGTATTTGGAGCAGCAGGATGGTGTGTGTGCTGCATATCATGATTGACAGTGATGTGTATACAGTAGGTAGACAACTAACACAAGCCAGGAGACAAAGAACTGGATGCAAACACTCGAGGCATGTTTTAAGGTGAAAAAAGGCTCTAAACAAAATACAGACATGAATGGCAAAGAAGGGCTCCCAAACAAAAAAACTTGATCACAGAGATCGAGGTGTAGAGTCACTCGGGCTGGCGTGATGGAAATCACACAACCTGGTATGTATGGCAAGCAAGGGTTTTAAGTATAAGAGTCTCATAAACAGAACACAGGTGAAGGGTGAACAGGGTGGAGACAGTCAGTGGAGGAAGAGGGCCTAGACACCTCTATGACAGCAACCTCTAGTGACTGTAGTAAATATGTTAGGAGGAGGTTGAGGTGGATTGATGGGTCAGAAAACACAGGACTTTTCCAAGGGGAATTAGAGTTCAATTCCTGTGTGAATTTATCCATAACCATTCTGCAAGCTTAATCACGTTTATTATTGTAACCATGGCAATAATTTCTGTTTTTTTACCCAAAACCATAGTCTTTTGCTAAATCTAATTCAGTTGTTTTTTTTTTTGTGCCTAAACCTAAAGAAACTTTGATGAATCTAACTGTGTGTGTACAAATGTTTCTGTGATGGAAAGGGTCTAGTGAAATTGTCATATGAAACGTGCAATTGTCTGTTCTGGTAAGGTTTTGGTGCAGTCTCACCTGTGGGGCTCTCTAATCCATCAGCCGCTGAGTCTCCTCCTCCTCCAGTGGTGGCCGTAGCATGAGCAGCGTTAGTAATGAGTGTAGAATTGCCAGTGTACTTCTTACTGCCGCTGTAATCTGTGCTGCTCTCATCATCCCGCATTGTGGTGGCTCCTGATTGGATGCCAGAATCTGAGGCGTAGTAGGTCTGCTGCCACTCTGCCACCTTCACCAGACTCTCTGCCTCACTCACTGCATGGACCACCACATGGCTGACATCAGATGTCAGTAGTATTATTAAAACTACTGTTGTTACTTTTGTTACTTGTACTGTAACTGGTCATCATGCTACTGCTTCTGCTGCTAATGCTAAATACAGCCACTTGTAGTGCTGCTAGTATTACTGATAATACTGGCAGTACCACCTCTAGTACTACTGCATTGTACTGACTGTACTGCAGATATTACTACTTTCAGGTTTTCAAGTCTGAACTGAAAACTGCTGTTTTCCTGTGCCTTTGTTTGACTGGTTTCTGTTCTGTATTTTCTGCACTGTAACTACCAGATTTCAGTTTCAGACATTTTATTTTGTCTGTTTGTATTTTCATTTTGTGTATTTTAGCTCATTTTAACAACATTTTAGCTTCACATTTTATCTTAACAGATTTTTTGCTTTAATGCTGATTGTTTTTAATTCTGCTACAGTTGTTCCTTGCCTTGCCAGTAAAGTTGCCTTACCTTGTCTTACTTTTACCTGCAGTACTAATACTACTTCTAGTGCTACTACTGCAACTAATGCTAGTATTTGTAAAACCTCTACTACTACCATTACAACTACCACCGCAACCTCTATTGCTTGTAGTATTTTTACTGTAAGTACTGTTACTACTAATATCCGTGTACACTACGTGACAGTGGACTTACTTTGCATGGACATCATCTTTGTCCCCTGGAACCACTGCCTTCACTGACCTTTGACCTGCAAACAAAGAAGAATCAACAGATCTGCAGAAAGGACTGCATACAAGATTCAATCTAATTAAAGATTTTATCCCCATTTTCATATGTAATTCCTTAATTCAAATTAAATGTAAAGTATGGTAAGGTTATCCCTCTTCAAATTCTTCCAAAAAATACAAATATACAGTAAAATACATATACTGTATATTAGAGCATGACTTGGGCTGCATATTTCTGAGGTCATAGTTAAAAGTGGTGTTATACTGAACTACAGTATATTCAGAGGTATTCCTACTATTCTGACCCTCTCATGTAGTTGGGGAGGACAAGAATATAGAGACAATATAAACAAATTGCAAATATAATGTAGTCCAGTACCACACTACAATATTAACTATGACTTCAATAATAAACATATAATTGAGTTTATACTATGAAAATTTCTCTAAAAACTGAAACATTTTGAATTGCATACAACAGTACAAGTGTACCTAATAAAGTGGCCGGTGAGTGTACACTACCAGTCAAAAGTGTGGGCACATTTTTCCATTGAATTGAATGAGAAAGTGCAGCCACACCTTTGACTGGTAGTTCCTCAGAGAAGCCAGTCAGGGCTACATTTGCATTTGCAGTAATCAAAGTTGTGACCAGTCATATGTCCACCACTCATCTTCTCTTTTAAACTACTACTGTTGATATAAAGTTTACATATGGGCGTTTATTCCTATCTTTAATCAAGAGCATGATCTTTCAATCTGAGAGCATGATGCTACTGGGTCCTTACACTCATTTATTATTAACATTTTTTGTTATGTTCTCTGACCTTTTGCAAGGTAGACACAACAGGCTTAAAAACTAAATGAATAAATCAAATTCTCCTGTTCCAATGTTGAGGTGCAACAATGTTTTTAAGCATTGAAATTGAGAATAAAACTCTTAATGTCTTCCAAGCTCCTACCTCATCATGTCCCCTCTTTTTGTGCGCCAGTGTACTGCTTGGTCTCTTAAGCAGACCGTCACTGTGGTGTAAATTGCTCTGTGCCTCCATATGTTTGATGAAGTCCCTGCCTAATTAAAACTGAACAGACTCTGTAGGATTCACATGTGGTTAAAATGCCATGGAAAGTTGTGTTGCAGTATTTTGGAGCATTTCCTCATTTGTATTTTAAAAGCTGCAAAGCAAATAGCAATGTGTGTAAAGAGGATATGGGTTGAGCTGAGGAAAAGGAGAAAGTAAAATGAGAGTGAGTTGAGCAAGGAAAAATATAGAGTGGGGAGAAAACAGGTGAGTTAAAGATGAAGTGAAGAAAGAGAGGAAGTAGTGGCATGTGCAGAGAATAAAAACACCCTGTTAGGCATACTGTACGTATGGTTGTTTCTGCATGTGTGTACATTTGTGTACATGAATGGCGTAACATGTAAACCAGTATCTGCACTCTGTTCTAAACGCTCTCAATTCATCCACCTAATTTTTCAAATTTAAAACTGAAGTTCTGTCACATTTTCAACTGTAACATACATTAGTGTAATTCACCTGTTCATCTTGAGGCATTAAAAGTCCAGTTTCATAAACATATACAGTGAGGAAATTATTTATGTATTTATTTTATCAATTCATTCCCATTTTGGAACTTAAATATTACCTACAATGTTCTGTAATTTTGTATACAAAAATCTGTTTTTACATACGTGTAGTGATTTACATCGCAGATAGTGATACTGCTCAAAATTAATATTTTGAACATGGATTATGGGACAAACTTTTCCCAACTTCTGAGCTTTCGAACACATATGGTCATACATGAGTAAATAGAACTAGCTCAAGTAACACATGACTTTACTGTGGAACACTGTTGCTTATGGAAGGAATGAAATACCACAGTGTACAAAGAACAGACCAATATCTAACCGGCACTTACCAAATCAAAACATTGTGGCCTTTCTAGACAAAGTACAACATCCTGTCAGTGATGAAGCGGATAAAGAGAGGCAGGTGCAGCAGGTCCATTGGGCACTATGGGTCAAAGATTACAAGGAGTGGATGATGAGAATTTTACCGAAAATTAAGACCAGACTGGAAACTACTATTTCAACAAGCACGGCCAGAAGCTTCCCAGTAGCACTCCCTCATGTTGCTGCATTGTCAGAACATCAGAGTTATAAGAAGCTAAAACGTTTCAGGTGAGTGGTTGTAAATTCAACCTATGCTAGTAAGTGGGCCTTTAGCAGAGGATATTTTGTCTCACATTTGCATTAATGTATATATCTAAAGCAAGCTGCAAACATCCATACCTGTCCACAAACCTCTACGATTGCAGCCAGTCATAATAATAATGTTACTGTTTTATCAACTGTACTCTTTACTCTTGCAAGGTTACTGGAGGGATCTTAGGAGTTTGCCCATAAAGTCTACATATGCTTTGTGATCTTGGAGAAGGCCTATTACACGGTCCCTCATGGGAACTTGTGAGGGGTACTTTGAGAGTATAGTCATTGGTATGAACCATCCATTCCTTGTATAATTGGAATGAGATTTGTGTAAGCATACTCGGCAAGAAGTCAGACAGTTAGTTCCCAGTTAGTGTTGGCCTTTGTCAGGTTGTCCCTTCTAATGACCTCGTTTGGGATTTTCATAAACAGGATCTCAAGGCACAGACAGGGGGAGGAAAGTGTCTGGTTTGGTGACCTCAGAATTGCATCTTGGCTATTTGTCGATGATGTCATTTGTATGCTTCATCAGATCGTGACTTCCAGCACACACTGGGGGGTATGAGCATTAGCACCTCCAAGGTGCTCAGCCAGAAAAAGGTGGACTGCTCTCTCCGAATTGGGAGTGAGTTGCTGCCCCAAGTGAAGGAGTTAAAGTATCTCAGGGTTTTATTCACAATTGAGGGTAAAATTGAGCATGAGACTGACAGGCGGATAGGGGCAGCATCAACAGTAATGGAGACGTTGCACCAGACCATCATGTTGAAGAAAGGTACCTGAAAGGTAACAGTCTCAATTTAATAGTCAGTCTATGCTTCAACTCTTACCTATGGTCACAAGCTGTGAAAGAATAAGACTGCAAATACAAGTGGCCAAAATGAGTTTCTTTTGCAGGGGTGGCTGGACATAGCCTTAGAGATAGGGTGTGGAGTTCGGACATCCGGAGGGGGCTCAGAGTAGAACTGCTGCTCCTTCACATCGAAAGTTGAAGTGGTTCAGGCATCTTATCAGGATGCCTCCAGGGCGCCTCTCTTTGGAGGTTTTTTTCAGGCACATCCCACTGGAAGGAGACCCCAGAGTAGAGCCAGAACACACTGGAAAGATTATATATCTCATCTGGCCCAGGAACACCTTGGAATCCCAATAGAGGAGATGGAAAATGTTGAGAAGGACATCTGGACTACCTTGCTGAACATGTTGCCATTGCGACCCGATCGTGGATAAGCGGAAAAAAATGGATCAATGGATGTTTGCTCTTTACGTTCTTGAACTGGACATTTCCATGATAGAGTACGTGATAAAAGATTTTCATGTGATGTTGGTCTTTAGAGGCTGTTAAAAATCTGCACATATGATGTGTCAAATATGGAGGGAAAAGCAGGGAACTCTTACACAAGGCTGTGGGCAAAAATAATGGAGTTACCACTGTGAGTGACAAGTTGACAGCTTAAATGGCACCTTATTCTGCTTGAACAACACCCATTTAGTGTGTGCTGTATGGGTTTGTGTAAGAAACGTAGTTCTCTGCATGTGGACATGTGATTTTTATGTGTGTTTATGTAAGCCTGTGTGATATTGTGTCTTTGACGTGTGTTTGTGTTCTCGTACTTGATACATAGTGAGGACCAAAGAGTATTTTTGCTACAGAGTGAAGACATTTTTGGAAAGTGATGACATTTTGTCCTGTCATCACTTTCTGCAACAGCTTTTTGAGGATTAATTACATTTAGGTTAGGCCAAGGGTTATTGTTAGGCATTTAGTTCTGATGGTTAAGGTCAAGGTAAGGGGCTAGGGAATGAATTATATCAATGAGTGTCTTCACAAAGATAGAAATACAACTGTGTGTGTGAGAGAGAGAGAGAGAGAATGAGGAAAAATGCTTTTTCCTTCTGTGCTTTAACTCTGAAAGCTTTTCACCATGTGTCAGAAAATCCACATATTGTTCTGAGGGTAAATATTTCTTTTAGTAGTCACACACAGAGACCCACACACTTGTACCGGTATTTTTGTGAAGACACTCATTGACATTCCCTAGCCCCTTACCCTAAAGTAATCCACCCTTAACCTTGTGGTGAAAAGCCACAGCACAATCAGTGAACAGACTGTGCGCTCTGATACACACAAACACACACGCTCCCTCTCTGTCTCTCCTGCCTTAAGGTTTTTCATATACAGAGAAACGCAAATAAATGATATGGAATAGCCATTTTTTTCAGAGGTGATTTAAATGCCCCACATACAAAGTTGACCCAAATATACAATGTCAAGTTCTAAAAGGTCACGCTACAAAAGTCCCCATCAAGCAATGATAACCTGCAGGTGATGATTCTGCAAAATACAAGCAGTGCATCCTATATTGATGAAAAGGCAACTTCAAAAGTTTCACTGCTTGGTGCAAGGGTTGAAATTGTACCATGATTTTCTTGGACCTACTTCAGGATGTCCATGGGAAACGTTGAGGAATTGCTGCTGCTACCACAGCACTTGAAGAGTCAGAGAAGTGATTACAATGACCCAGTCGACCCAGAATAACACCTGGCCATATGTCTGAGGTAAACTATATACTGTATACAACTTTAAAAATAAATCACATAGCTTTAGATGACAGGTGCATGACGCCACTCTCTCGCTCCCAGATCCCGAGTGGGTAGGTGACGACGCCTCTCTCCTGCCCCCAGCTCCCGAGGGGTTCTCCGACGACGACACCCTGCTTCCAGCTCCTGAGGGATTCGCCGACAACGATGCCCTGCTTCCAGCTCCTGAGGGGTTCGCTGACTCCAGCTCCAAAAGGGGTTGGCGGCATCTCGGCC